GTGGCCGAGCTTCCCCAACTTTTTTTTTTACACCCCCCCCCTGGGTTTCTCAAATTTTTTTCCCCCCCCCCCCCCCCCCCCTATGGATTACAAATGGCTGTCTGGTTGAAACGACGCATGTGAGGGGGGGCATCGACTTTTTTGGGGGCAAAATGAATATGCATAGCTGAAAATAGACACCAACATCGGTAGCCTACAAGGTACTTGTTAAGCTTAAGGTTCTGTATTGATATTAGCTAGTCATTATTACCTGCATCCAACAGCTTTACTCAACTCAGTCGGTTAGTTTGGAGGGAAAAACTGTGAAAAGTTCTTTGCGTTTTGCTGGTTTGCTGCCATCATTCTAACACAAACCTACGTAGCTCCGCACAGCAGCAGCAGGTCTCCTTCACCCAGCGCGAGCGTCGTAGAGCTCATGTTGCGTTTAAAGGCGGCTCGGAAAAACAGGTTACAACATGTTAACAACGGACTAAACTGTTTTAACTGCTGATAAAAGTGACAGAGGACACAAATATGGGAAGTGTGGAAGCCTCAACTGTATCACATTGACATAGGAATAACAGAGAGTTGACCATTCTAAGGTAAAAACCCAGCGCATACAGTGTTCATGTTTTGTTTGTTTTTTTTCATCTAGGCGGCTTCCCGCGCCCCCCTGCAATGACACGGCGCCCCCCCTAGGGGGCGCGTCCCACAGTTTGGGAACCTCTGGGTTAGTGTGATAATTGATGTTTAGCTTAACAAACTGTAACAAAGATTTAATTTAATTACAAATTCATAAACATTAAAAGACTTAGGAAAATAAGTTTAGATTTCTAATTATTTTTTTGAATTAATTGAAATTTATTTTTCAAAATAGCAGAGATAACTTTTATTTTGAAACAGGAAATGGAAGTGAGAAGTTTTGTTTTGAGCTTGATTCGTCTCGGCAGTTTATTTCTGTTATTTTCTGTTATTGGTCCTCTGATCTGTCCTCTGCAGTGTCTCATTTAACTGTTGCTCCTTTTGCTTTACTTATTAATTAGTCCGAAACAATGGACAGCATCTCTGATCATTTTGAAACTTCACTCTCAAGAACTTTTGTTTTCTACCTTAAAATGAATGAAAAACTGTCCTCTCACTGATTCTACCCACATACAAATTGTACAACTGGAATGGACTTTGGTCATCTTTTACCACAGACATGTAAATTTGTATGCTATCAGAATAGAAATGCCAGGAGATATTGTAGTACTCTGATAAATACTGAGCAAGGGGGAGCATGTAGATACTGAACAAAAGAGGCCTGGAAATCGTGTCCTGAAGAACCCCACATGATCTTTTTTGTTCACGTTTATGCTTGAAGCCCTCCTCTCTCCCCCCCCCAAAAAACAAAAAAAAAAACATTTGATTTATTTTTAGCTGTCTAAATACCTTTATCAGCTTGTTGTTGCTGATGTCAAGCAGTGTGAGGGATTTTAGAGCCTTCAGTGATGTGGCCATGTCGGTAACCTCATTGTCATGAAGATGCAGGATAGTGAGGTTATCCATTCCTTCAAGGTCTGTTGGGATTACCTGGACAGGAGTGAAATTATCAAAGCCAATTTGTTTGTCATGATATACACCCAAAGCACGCAAAAAGTGAACAGCAAAATTACTCTTTAGGAATATAGGTACAGCGAAACAATACCTTTTCAATCCTGTTGTGGTCAAGCCTTAAGTCCCGCAGCGAGCGAGGAAGGTTTGGTGGAATGCTGGTCAAGTTATTGTGGTGTAGAAACAAACGCTCCAATCCTACCAGCTTTAAAAATGCCTAAAATGAAAAAGCATGTTTGTAAAAATGGCATGTAAAATTAACAGCTGTACCTGCTATTTCCTTCACATGTTCTCTGTATTGGTAATGTTGTTAAAGGGCCATTTGGTTGAGTCAAAAAGTCACTGCTCATCTTATTAGAGAGAGGAGAACTTTGTCTTTCCAATCTGAAATCCTGCTAGCAGAAACCACTTCAGGAGGCTGGCATGTAACCTGATGTAATTAAGTTTTTTCTTAGCAGTCAGAGAAAAGTGCGTCTTCAAAAACAAGCGGAAATTTTACATCTTTGGTAAGTGGCTGCTGCTGAGCATCTAATTAGTCATTTATCACAAAATTATGAATATTTTGAATATTTGTTTAACTGGCTGCTGCAAAACAGAAACTAAATAAAGTGTCTTGCAAAAGTATTCACACCCCTTGAATTTAGCACATTTTGTCTCATTGCGTCCTCTTTGTTTAATTTATTTTATTGTGATTCTATGTGATGGACTGAGCTGCGTGCTTTACAATTAAAAACCAGAAATGCGAGACATGCATTTATATTCAACTCCCAAGTGAACCTAAAGGTCCAAGTGTTTTGGGATGTGATCCCATTAGCTTTGTTCATCTATTGATATGCTTGCATATTCATCCTTGCAAAATAAATCAACCTTAGTCACTCTGAAGGGAAAGTGCCTGAGCACGATCTCCTTTAGTCTTGGTGTATGTAATCAATAAGTTGTTGACCTTGACTAGGCCATTCTTACATGCTTGATCAAACCATTTATTTGTAGTTCTGGCTGCATGTTTAAGGCTACAGTTCGACCGGAAGGTGAACCTCTGACATTGTCATTCTCAGCATCTGAAAGGTTTTCTGACAGTGTTGCCAAGTATATATAGCTTCCCTGCTTGTGATGAAGAAAAGCGTTCCCCCACGGCATGATGTTCGCTTACTGTGTGCCCTGTGGCTTATAAACCTGAAGCCTGAAAGCTACAGAATGGACTTTATGTGGTTTTCTTCTCTAATAACGGTTTTTATTACAAAATAGTTCAAACTCACAAAGATCATATAAAATATATGATTCTCTTATTACAGATTCACAGTTGAATTTAACTCTGGACCTTTTTCCTTGTCCATTCACTAATATCACTACAATATGTCAGAGAAGAGGGGAATGAATTATAATGGACAGAACACTTTTTTATTTGTTAAAAATACTGAAAAGCAATCAAAACTTTTTTGTCAATCCATTCTCTCTTCCATTGAGAGAACAGATTGGTTCAAGGTTTGATAGGATAAAGAATCACTTAACTTCTCAGACATACACAAGAACGAAAGTCAACTGACAGGCTGGCAGACATCTGCGGTCCATCTGTCGGCCTCTCAGACCCACATCGCTGCATTTAGCCTCGCACAAACACACATCTGGGCATAGTTTTGTGATCACATTACGTTACCTCCTTTCCAATAGCATCAGAAGTCAACTGATTGTGATGCAACATGAGCCACACCAGACTGGTTGCGTTGACCATAGCTGCGTCAGGCACAGCTGAGATGGCGTTGTTCTGGAGGTACAGGTACTTGATGTGGGAGGGAATGGATGGAACGGCAGTCAAGCCCCGTCCTTCACAGTACATGGCTATGGGGAATGTTGGTGGGCAGTCGCACTCATCAGGACACACCCCCCCCACTGTATCTGCCCGCAGGAAGCCAAACTGTTGTGCTTGGCCGTGGCGGTGAAACAGCCAAGCCAGAGGGTCCCATCCATGAGAGAGGCAGAGTGGAAGCAGGGCAGACAGGAGGATTACAGTCTCCAGACGCATTTTCACAAAGCACAAAAGCCTTCACAGTTGCCTGAGACAGAAATAGAGAGAAAGTATTCAGAGGAAGTTCCTTCATGCTGAACTAATTGGTGGAGATTTTATTAAAAAAGAGATTGGTAATGATAAAAATATCAAAAAAGAAAGAAAGAAAAAGAAAGCCACTGGCATAATACGCTGCTGAAACACAGTGTTTTCAGGGTGTAAAAAAATTAAACCAAAGATCTTTCCAACTTTAATGTGACACATATCAGTGTTATTTAACCAAAAAGTGTTTTAGGGAAAGTTTAAAAACTAAGAAAGGTGAAATAAGCAGGCACACCCTTAAACTAAAACGTTGCTGAACAGCATCTTGAGTTCACTCCTGTTATCAAATACACTGAATTTGACCAACATAAAATAAAGCGTTCATATCTCAATACATTATTTTATTTCTCGTTTTTAGCTAAAGTCTGCAGAGAGGTTACAAAGTATTTAGAAGATCTTATTCTACAAAGGAATCAATCAGGATCAGAGTACAAAAAAGAAAAGAAGTAGAAACAGGACAGAAAGGGTGCAAAGCAGCAGCACTGAAGGAGCTGCAGGCATTTCTGGTCATTGCTGGTTGTGTTCCACATGTGAAACATGGTGCTGGCAGAATCATGCTGTGGGGTTACAGTTTTTGTTTGATAGAATAGATTTCAAGGTGGATGAAATAATGAGTAGTTCTAAATGTTGTTTGGCACAATTCGTTAATTTCATTCAGCTTTGATTCAAAACTTTCAGAAGAAAATAAGAAGAAATTTTAATTTTCACCATCACTGAAAGTCTGAGCACACATCAAAAATTAGAACAAGACTAGCCTCACTCCAAGAAAATTCAAGTGCTGGAATGGTCTATTCAAACTTTACAAATTTAGCTGACAGAAAATATGTGGGGTTATCTGAAGAGAGACCATCACAACTTCACTGCTTTTGGAAATGTTTGCTGACAGACTAAAATAGAAGGATCAAAAGATTTATTCACAAAGTGTTAGCCAAAGGATGCACACAGTGCTGTAACCAGGATCTTCTGGCTTTAAAAGAAAAACAAAACAATCTTTTTCTTCATGGTATATATTTTTAAGTTAAACTGCACAGAATAATTAATTAAAAGTAAGAGAAGTTTTGGCGTGGCCGGATTTTGTATGCCACGAAAATGTGTAATTTTTACAGGCATGTTTATAGTTTTTAATATTTTTCAAGAAATATTCTTCTACTGAAAAGCTCTTGTGGCTCTCCTGCTGGGGTTGAATTATCATTCAGAGCCTTTGCCTTTGTTTGTGGATATGTGTGTCCACAGGGAGGCACATTTTTAGAGGACTTGTCCACAAGGAGCCTGTGAGGAAAATATATAAAAGTTCCAGGTTCTGTTTTCTGAAAGTTATGTGATTTTTGTATGTAATTTTTTATTTTATTTTATTTTTTACAAAACCTTGAATTGAAAGTTGGTTAAAATCAAATCTTTTAAATGCAGCTTGTTTTTGTCCCTTCATCCAAACTCTTTTTATATGGTCACATTTTATAAATATTGTCTAGTACACCTTAAGCTGCTAACTGTCGAAGTGTGTTTACATTTGACTGTGTGTGTTTTGTGCATTTATTTAATTAATTTAAAAAAAGTACCTTGATTTACCCAGTACAAAAGTCACTGAGATCAGTAGCCTGTGGTACAAGAACACTTAGTGTCAGAAAGCAGAATGCACAAAGAACAGATCAAACTACATATATAAATATATAAGTATACATAAATACACATACTTAAGAAACGTTATTAGCCAATTTGGTAAACCAGATAAAGACAAATGTTTCTGCCTCTAAGTCATTGAAAGACCACATCCTTAATTTGCATGTTCTTCTAACTTTGCTTAAAAATTTGATGCAGATACAAAGAGAAAAGTCAAAGTGGAGGACAAAAGAAACAGTAGACTGTCATCTAATACCCATCTAATACAGGTGAGCTGAGTCTGGAAGTAATTTCTTTTAAGAAACAGAATAAAATAAAATCAAAAAGACAAGACAGGATTTTAGAGACGCCTCATCTCTCAGCTGATTGTCTGCTGCAGGTGAAAACCGGCTCTTTATGAATCACCTGGTTGGTGCTTATGTACTATTTTCTGTGACAAACCATTATCTTTGGTATCATTTTCAGACTCAGTGAAAGAAACTGGAACACATTTAGTCAGAAAGTGTGAAAAAAAAATCCAATTAAAAGTTGTTGCTTAGTTGTCTGTATTCTTGCAGCACAACACTGTTTTATCCCTTGACTTTATCTGCCTGAAGGATCCATGCGTCGCGATTGAACATCCTAATGAAAAAGTTGAAAACCAAATTACCTCAGAATGTAGTAAAAACCCAAATTAAAAGTGTTCAAGTGTTCAAGACCTCCAGTGAGCCTGGAGAAGCTGCTGATCAAAACCGACCAAGATCTAAAAGTTTGAAAACATTTTAAACTTTTTTCACTGTTCTGTAGTTTAGCAGAAACACAAAACGCAGCTCTACCATCATTACCTTCATTCTTCTCCTTAAAGACACAGACACACACACACACACACACACACACACACACACACACACACACACACACACACACACACACACACACACACACACACACACACTTCTGACCTGATCAGGGAGACTGGTCCTCCTTGCCTCTGCTTTCTCTGTGTGCCCAGGAGCGGAGGGGCCCCTGAGAAACACTTTATTAAAAAAACAGAAAAACTTTCTCCCCTCCCTCCTCTCGTTTCCATTATTCCAGCCCTCTGTCTGTCCTCCATCTGCTGGTCACTTTCTCCCCTTTATCCAGTCGCCGGCACCCCACTTCTCTCAATTTAGAGAGAAGCAGACGGTGTGAAGGATTGTTCCCATCTGTGTTCCCCTCACATTCTCCCTTTTCTGAATCCCACTGCTTTCAAACATTTTGTGGGACCTTGTCTCACTGGATCAGATTTTTTTGGTTTTCTGACATGAAAAGCTGGACAGAACCACACATCACTCATCTAACCCAATATCCTTTTTATCTAAGCAAACTTTTGGATGGTCAACAAAAAGATTAGTGTCACATTTATGACAAACACTGCATGAAGAATGTAAGTGTGCACAGAAATGACAAAACATGTAAAGACTATAAAAATCATGCAAAGTACATTTTCAGGAAACATGCTGAATATGATTCATACCTTCATTAATATTCCCAGACATTGAACTACAATCTCAGTGCAAAAGTATTCATGCCTTTTGAAATGTTTCATTTATTTAGTTCCAACCTCAAAATTCAATGTATTTTCTTATTTTATGTGATTAACCGACACAGACTAGTCCATGGATGATATGTGGTTTTAAACTATTTTATAATGACAAATCTGAACATACTGTGCTGCATTTTTATTCAATACTTTCTAGAAACTGGTGCAAAGTTGTCCTGTAGATCCAGAGTGAGATCGTTCCCTTTCTTCTTTGCAAAATAGTTAAAGTTCAGCCAGGTTGGAGGGACCTGCTGTTTTTAATTGTTGCTACAGATTCTTGGATCTTCCATCCTCGCAGCATTCCTACAGTAAAATATGGTGCAAACATTATGTTTTATTGTCGGGTTTATTGTACATTGAAACATGGTGGAAGAATGAAGAAAGAAGTGTGAAAGAGAGACATAAGTTTGCTGTTTCTTGGTTTTACTGATGACTGATGAGCCAAAAATGCATTGTGTTACATTATGCAAAATATGCAGAAAAAGAAAAAAAATCAGAGTTGTTTATTTACTTTGTTTCTTGGAATTGGTTTCTGCTGCATGAAAACATAAAATGTAATGTTTTTCAGCCGCATGCAGTTTTTGAGCAGCTGCTTCAATTGAAATATTCCACGTCTGATTCTGTGTAGCAATATCATTTTCTGAAATTAATATTACTAACCTTTAATGTGTAAATTAAACATAAAGGGTAAAATCTGAGTTTTATGTTAACCCTATTACTGATATTTGTAGAAATAGAAGCAGTACTTCAGCCTTATTATATGTAACACTGCGTAGATTAAACTACAAAAGGTTATGCCAAATTACTTTGTAAATTACATTCTAAACTTTGAGAGTATAACCATAGTGCTGCAGCAGGTGAAAACACAGAATTCAATAGGAAATATCAGAATGTTTCCATTAATGAAGAGCTGCAATTTTAGCAGAAGGAAAACATGGTTTCCAAGGAGCTGTTGCTGTTGTAAAGAAATTAGTGAGTGAATCAATAACATTTAAGCAGGTGATTATGTAAAGACAAACACTAGATGAAAAGATTAATCCCTTTTCACTTTTGTATTATTGTACTTTGTACTTTGCTCCCTTCAGTGGTCCTTTTTGCTCTTTTGCGTACATTTGTTCAAACTGTCAGCAGCTCATGTGAAAAATGTCAGCTAAACTGTAAATAAGATCCATATATTTTGATATTTGACGTAGGATGGATCCAGCTTTCTTTGACTCTCTGCAACACTTTCACATCTTGTAGAGAGGTAAATGGAAACAGCTGTCAGCCCATCCTCTTATGGTGTCTGTCTGGTTTTGATGTGGGCCTCTTCCTGCCACAGAATCCTTCAAACTGGTGCCCCATCTGGACCGAAGTTTCAATGCATAGTTTTGTCTTTCATTTCTCCAAAAAAGTAGTAAATTTCAGCTTGTTTTGTCAGGTCTGACATATGTTTTCATGTGTTTTATTGAAACATTTTACTATGATTATCATAAAGGAAGAGAGGTCTTCCTTTATGAAGACATATTTACACTTAATGATGGAGCGAGTAGTCAGATGAGAGAAATTCAGATGATCTGAAAATAGAAAAACCACAATCTATAAAATATAGTACAACTTGAATGTGTTTTATGTCAGCCATAAACATAAATAAAGTTTTTCAAAGTTTTTCTTGCTACTTTTATGGAGGAAAAACAATGGGTAACTATACAGTATTCTGCATGAAATACTGTATCTCAAAGTTGTTCTATGGATTTTGAGGTCAAGACTCTTGGAGTTTGCTTTGTGGACATGTTGAAACAAGAAGGACCAGTTCACAATAAAACTGGGTGCTTGAAATCATTCATTATATTATGTATGTTCAAGCATAAAATGGGGACGTATTATGCAAAATTCACTATGTGCATGTTTTTTGTGCTTCCACTTGGGCTTCTGCTTCTTTTAGAAACAGTCCAAGTGCTTAACAAACTCCACTTAGCAGTTTTCTGGCAATATGTTAACGTTTTTTGGTGTCTGGAAAGCTTCTGAATATTACTTCACGTCTGGTTTTACCGCTGTGCGTGATGTACAATGGCTGCTGGAAAGGACAAGTGCTTTGCAATCTTGTTGATTGCGGAGAAGGCTCTACATCTGCTTCTGGGTCTAACTCAAGGTTGAAGTTGAACCTTTGTACTTTTAAAGTGATGTGAGACCATGAAGCATCTCATTCTGAAAGGAGCTGAGAACTGAGCAAAGTGACATCTCATTATCTCAGAAGGATTTTCTCCAAAAAATGTAATCCGGATGTTTCATATAGCCCATAGGCCCATCCTAATTTGCTAAAGGAAGCATAATCACTTCCCTTTAAGAGTTTCTTTCTCTGGACATAAGGGTCCAGACCCAACTCCAGAACAGACATAATCCTCTCTGTACTGGAATATATACTTGGTCAAATGTGGTCTGGAAAAGATTTCCAAACAAAAGCATGGTTCATTACTTCAGAAAACATTTCTCCAATGAAAGCAGGCTTCACATCAAGGGGTCCAACACTTGGTCATGTAAGACTTGCATGCAGCTGCTCAGCAAGAAGCTCTCTACTCCCTGTAGTTGAAGTGATATGTAGGTCATTCAAGGCCTGGAGGTGTGTAGCTACCTCTTCACATCTCTTCACCTCGGCATCTGCTGGATTTGCTGTGTGATTTTACAGTACATGGCAATCTACATTGTAGCTAAGTTGACGCTGCTCCTAGTTGCTTACACTTTGCTATAACACCAACAGTTGATTGTATGTTCTTAACAATGAAGTGATTTCATGACTGGGCTAACTGGTCCGGGTGCATCCATAGTACTAGGGTGGGATCCAACCTGTTGCTGAGAGCGACCAATTCTTCTTGATTGTAGAAGAAGTCTGTATGCCTACCGACTGGATTTTAAATAGCTGTGGCTGTCAAAGTGATCAGAATGCATGAATTCAATCATTTGGATGGCAGCCCCAGTGCTTTTTGCAATAAAGAAACAAAGACTCTCCTCCAATCTGGAGGGCCGCATTGACAAAAATGCAGAGGACTCAAAAACCAAAGTCTGTACCGTGATACCAGGTAGCCAGTAGAAACAAGTCAAGAACCTCACTTTTGTGCATCACACTTTGCAAAATATAGCTATAAGCTTTCTCCACTCCCACTAATCTGCCATTTGAATTCCTCTGTAAATTTGCAAAGATAAAGATATTGTTTGCTTTTGTCCCACAAAGACAAGAGTGAAGCTGTTCCTCCTTTGAACAAGGCTCTTTTCCAAAACTGGAGTGAGATTTACCTCTGGAGTAGAATGATCTCTGTGGATTTGTAGCAAATAGCACATTTGTGCTTCAAAAGTATTAAACTGGTAAAGGTTTGTGACTATATAAATATATATCAAGAAAAGCCTAGTGAGAATTATATTTGGAGCTTTTGCACTTGCACACACTTTATCTTGTACACTTTGCTAGTTCCCTACTGAGCCAACTTTGGCCTTCAGAACTGATTTTACTCTTTAAAGCATCAGTTCAATGCAGTGTGGAAAGCATTATTTAGGGACTTATATACATATTGACATAATGGCATCACACAATTGTTTCATATTTGTCTACTGCATATTTATTATGCAAACCTCCTGTCCCACTACATCCTAAAGATCATCTACTGGATTGAGATCTGGTGACTGTAGAGATTATTGGAGTGAAGAGAAATCACCACCAACGCCCTGAATAATTGACAGACGGGAGGATGAATCCACACTTTCATGTTTATCTTTCAGTCCGTCTCTCCATCCATCCATCCATCCATCACATTAGCAGAAATCTGACTCTACCATCAAAATGTTGCAACTAAAATCGAGACTCATTGGGCCACATAAACCCATTTTTGTTCTGCAATTGTCCAGTATTGATGAGCCTGCATGAACTGCTGTCTCTGTTTCCTGCAGCTGACAGGAAAGTCACCCAGAGTGACATTCTCAATGGATATTTTTAATTTTCTGGAGTGTTCTCTTTAAACTTGGGAGATGACGTCAATATTTCCACTGTTCCTATGAAAACATAAAAAAAAACATCCACACATTAACCATACAGTCAGACTGTATATTTTGTACAACGCCTAAATTTGCTTTGCCCAAAAGTTACACAACTGGCTAAACATCCTCCACATGTTGCGATTCCTTATGTTTTACCATCAGCTTTTCATCTGAGAGATATAAGGATGAGATCACTGACTGGAAAGAAAATGAAGCAAATTATATTTAAATTACATCAACTTATGTTTTGGTTCCAGTGATTAAAGTCTTTTAGTAACAGATAACAGATCTGCCCAAACGTAAAAAGCCTGTCTATTGATTTTTGATCTTTTCTTTGGCTGTGCCCCCTGCAGGGCCATCGAGTGGCTGTGCAGGAGAGAAAAGGCTTCATTGCAACTGTCTAACCCAAGCAAACAAACAAACAAACAAAA